TAGAGCTTTTTCTTCTAAAGACTGACTTAATTGGGTTTTATCCCAATCCAATTTAGATTATCTACATCTAAAATATTTACCCCAAAATTCAAAAGACCTTTAAATATGCACATAGTCTCACAACATGGTTTTGCTATTAGGGAAGTGTATTAACTGATGAAAGATCAAAAATTATAAAATGGAACTTTGAAATCATTGCAGAAAGGTATTTGCACATTTTTAGACCAATTTCCTCCCTTTACTGAAGAGGAAATGAAGCCAAAGTATTATATTTTATTTATTAAGCTAATGGTGGGTGCACAGAATTCATTTTTTAATTCTTCTTTCTACCTTATATGGACACTAAATATATTCGTTTTGTGTTAGAAGTATCTCATAATTGGCCGGGCGCGGTGGCTCAAGCCTGTAATCCCAGCACTTTGGGAGGCCGAGGCGGGTGGATCACGAGGTCAAGAGATCGAGACCATCCTGGTCAATATGGTGAAACCCCGTCTCTACTAATGGTGCAAAAAATTAGCTGAGCATGGTGGCGTGTGCCTGTAATCCCAGCTACTCCGGAGGCTGAGGCAGGAGAATTGCCTGAACCCAGGAGGCGGAGGTTGTGGTGAGCCAAGATCGCGCCATTGCACTCCAGCCTGGGTAACAAGAGCAAAACTCCGTCTCAAAAAAAAAAAAAAAAAAAAAAAAGAAGTATCTCATAATTGAGAAGGAAGGAGGAAAGGAAAGAAGAAAATAGAAAATAAAACAAGCAGCAGAATCAGGAAAATGAGGTTCTCCACACAGAGCTGGGACCAGACAGGCAGAACCTGCAGCTCCCCGTGTGACGTCTTCCATGCCTCGTGACCCAAACAAATCGAATCACTAGTCTAGTTGGGGGAACTCTGTCAAGAGGCATTGTTAACACCACTCGAAGATCCAGACAAAATCAGAAAGCAACCACTCTTACTCAAAAGCAATCTTAGTTATAAAAGAGGGTAAACATTTTAGAACACCTTTACCCCAGAAGCAAAAGCCCAAAGGGTAGAATGAAACTTCAGCATTAAAAATGTGAGATGTTAATCGAAGTCAGCTTTCCCAGGAAAAGCATGAAAGCTAAAGATCTCCCACATATTACTTTCATTAATGTAATGTACCCCATGGCTACTCGGCTCCAACAATGTGGTTAACAGTAGTCTATGGTTGATAACACGGTGGTAACACAGGCTGCTAGAAAGGCCACTGCCTGGGGTGGCCAGGCTCCCTGGACATTACCATGGCTTCCATGGGAAAGTGCTGAGTAACTGTAATCAGCTTACTCACCTTCTCTATACTTTTACTTCTTTCATCTACAAAATATGACCAGAAAATCTCTAAGGAAAAGCTACTAAAATCCCTATGACAAGAGCTTGATTCTTCTATGTCTTGAGAGCGCCACAGATAATTATGAAATCAAAAATCTAATTCAAAACACCAACTCTCTCATTACTTTGCAACACATACTATGCCTGAATATTGTAAAAGACTAAGTAAGTGCTTTTCACACTTAGTTGGGCGTCAAATTCTCCTGAGAACATCTTGAAACCCAGATTCCTAAGACCCAGCTCTGACCTATTAAATAGAAATACCTTGTGGAGGGGGTCCTTTGAGAATGAACATTTTTATAAAGCACCCTAAATAATGTGATGTATAGCTAGGTTCAAATATCATCATTATGTTGGACAATTCAATAACTCAGGGTCCTAAGGATACAGGAATATAAAAAAGGTTAACAGGTCTGGGTGTCTTCATGAATAATTAAGGTTTTCTTTTAAATAGATCTTTAATGTGACCAATACATTTTTCATACACACCTCCAATCCAAACTGTGAATATGAAGGATGAAAAACTAAATTAGAAAGTCTGTTCAAGTCAATAAATAAGTCATGCTTTGGGAAAGTACAACTTCTCACAGTTAATGACATGAAAACATGAAAAGGAAATGAAGAGTGTTCTGAAAAGTGTGGGCTTTAAAAACCAACCCATCACCACTCATAAGTCAGGAGGTTACCATTCTAAATGTCATTTAAAAGTCACAACAACATTATGGACATAATCATCCACTTATTACTCGAAAGTTTACCCAAAAGCTTCATTTCTCTAGATTTGGCTTTTTAAATGTCAGCAACTGAATCAACACAACGCAGTCCAAGCAAAAATTTCACATTGAAAGTGTCTGACAACAAGAGGAAAAAAACCAGCAACAACGACTAAGAGAAAGAAAACAAAAATGAAAGCACAATTTTTTAAATGTAAATTTCAGTTGTGGGAATCTAAGGAAAGGTTTGGGTTTATGGCTACGACTTTGAATAAATGATTACACAAAAGGACTTCCGTAGAAAATGCTTTGAATTGTCATTGGCTTCAAAATCCAGCCTTTACTGATGACACCTTGAGGATAATATCCTACAGCAGGTAAGTTCTTGGTTGTAGCCAAAGGGCAGCCTACAGCATCAGGAGTAGAAAATTACATGAAAATCCCCTGGTTCAAGTACAACCATGGTTTAAGAAGTCAGGTTAACTAGGTTTAAAATGGTGTCAGGGCCTGAGCTCACACTGTGTAATTAGTGTGTCTTCTTTCTAATAGACTGAACCAACTCAATGTCCCTTTTCTGGTAATTAATTAATATAGCAAATAAACATATTAATTAATATAGCAAATCAAATATACTCTCTAAACAAGATTGTCACAGGAAAGATATCGTTTCATTACTAGTTGTCATTTCTCTAAAGAACTACAGCAACTGACATGTTTGTTACTAAATTAAACCAGAAAAGAGTCCGTCACTACCCAAAAAGTAAAAACCAAGTTCTCATAAACCTGCAGGAAGTTTTCTTCCTGTAAACATAATACAAATATTCTAGTAGAAAGGTGGTTGGATCACATGATCTTTGCATTTCTTATTCTTTAATAATTCAGGAATTTGCAGTCCCCTGAAGCACATAAAAACATTTTTATTGTTTTCCTGTGTCTTAAAAAAAAAAAAACTCACTGTATAAATCTGCTCTAGACAACCTATTACCAGCACCAACATTTAGAAATTTTATAATTTATTTTCTCTCCAAGTTTCACTGTCTCTACAAGACCTAAACATGAAAAGAAAAAGAGATATTCATTACGGACCACATTGTGGTCCAAGTAGGATATAAGATGCCTCACTCGATTTATCTAAATTGATCTTCACAATTACCTTCCTCCCACATTTTTTTTTCTTTTTACTGATGAAAAAATTGAGGCTCATGAAAGTTAAAGGGCTAACTTACAGTCACACTGCTAAAGAGTGGTCAAGTTGGAATTTTAACCTAAATCTCACTCCAAAGCCCAGGCTCCTACCAGCCTGGCATGGGGTCTCTCACTCTGGGGAGGGGTTAAGAAAGTAACAATGACTCAATGTCTTTCTATTATTCCGAATGCTTCACTAATTGCTCAGCCCCATTAATCTATTTTTTTTCTTTACTGCAATTGAATGAGCATCATTCTTAGAGATGGATTATCTAAGTATTCTCTTGCAAAGAATTGCAGAATTTTACACTCAAAGCAAGAATAATTTGAGAACTCTATTTTTATAAGGAAAAGAGAAAAATTCACCATATTGATCATCCAGGAATATCTATTTCCACATTGCCCACATAAGTAATGTAGACTGCACACAGAGCCTCTCAGAATGCACAGAAGTGAGCAGAAACCCAAGTAGTTAGCGAAATAAATGAACATTAACATTTCCTTATTAACATAAAATAGGTTAAATTTTCACAAACATGCAAACATTAAAACGGTGTACAATAAGAAGCAATTATGTCCTCAAATTCAGCATATACTAAAATAAACTTATGTGCCATATTTTCTTCCTTTAAAACGTATTCTTTTTCCAAATATTCCATTTCAAATCAATAGCACCAGTGATTTTCATTCACCCAAGGTCAAAAACCCAGTCACATTTGACCCTCTACTTGCCGCCTATATTCATTCAATTTCCAAGTCATTTTTAATTCAGACTTTTTAATTCCTCTTATTAGTTCCTCTCAATTCTGAAGGTGATTTCACAGCTATATTACTGTCTCTCCTTTCTCTCCTTACCTTTCACACAGACACAGAAATCTCTCTCCGAGGGCCTCTGCTCTATCTTGACAACCATCATTCAATACACTGGGGCAAGATTCATAATCCCAAAGAGATGTTGATCTTACAACTCTTGGCACACAAGTTTTTCATAATTAAATTGCCTATATAACATCTGGCTACAGCCAGCCACTCTTCCCAAAATCCTCCCTTCATTTACTCCTTATAATGTATCCTATGCCCAAGCTAAGCAGTTCCCGTTGCTGTTACTTTCCCCAGCTCTGTGCCCTTGCTGAAACATCTCATCACCTTGTATGTTCTTCCTCTCTGCTTTCCACATAAAGCAATCCTGCACCTATTTTAAAACTGAGTTCAAAGACCACTCTTCCACAAACCCATTCTCACCTCTGAGGCTGGGAGAAGAACTGGCCTCCTCCTCCAAAATTACATAACACTACTTGCATGTCTATTTTGGAAATTAACATTTAGGCTCTATAACACTTACTTGTGTACATCCTATGTCTCCTACCAACTGTAAGCATCTCTTACAAATATACCTCTGTTATCTCCCACAGCATTCAGCCCAGATTTTGTGCATACTACGAGTCTGAAGAACTTTCAGCTCATACATCTTACACTAAGGACTTTCCACTGAAGAAGAATGTGTCTTTCCCATCTGCATAGCTTAGGCAACCTTTGGGTTTAAAGAAAACTAAATGGCATAATATTTTTCAAGTGTTAAATACCAAGTGCTCAAGTACAAACTTCCTTGAATTTTAGAACTAGAGAACCAGAGGATGTGAGAAGAAAATATTCATTTATCAGTAAGGCAGTTTAGGCAGAAAACATTTGTCTTACACAGAACAGACACAGAACACAACAGTCCACAGGGGCAGCACGCACAGAGCTTGACCAGATGCCTTACTTTGCAGTAGACGATCATGTTGGGAGAACTCTCCTCTGGGTCAGCAATCCCCACTGCTCTTTGATCCCCGGATCCCTGAGCCATCCTGAGTGTCTTCACTCACACTGCAAAAATAAATGAATAGATCATTAAGTCATGAAGGAATTATATAAAGAGCACTTTGAAATGCAAAGAATTAAGTAACTGTTGACAGATGCCATGAAAACAAAACATGGCATTACATGATATATTTTTTCAAATTTAGAGGATGATTGTAGTCTTACTATCCACAAATATTCTTCTAATCCCCAAACAACAGGTTATTGATTTTCAGCTCAGAATCGCACACTCCAGGAGTAAATATATGGCAATCTTAATCTCCTGAAAACACATGAAGCCAATCATTTTGCTGTTGAGTTCACCTTGCCAAAGCTCATTTTCTGATTAATTCTATGCATTAAAATATGAATATTTTATTAAGGAAATCAAAATCCAGACCACAAGGAGATACCACTTCATACCCATTAAGATAATTATAATTAAACAAAAAACCCTCAAGTAAGTCTTGGCAAGGATATGGGGAAATCAGAATCCTCATACATTGCTGGTAGGAATGTAAAATGATACAGTCACTGTTGAAAACAGCCCTGTGGCTCCTCAAAGAACATTGAACATAGAATTACCATGTGATCTACCAATTCCACTCCTCAGTACATACGTAAAATAACTGAAAACAAATATCAAATACTTGTGCAAAAATGTTCACAGCAGCACTATTCACAACAGCTAACAGGTGGAAACAACCCAAATGTCCATCAGTGGATGACCGGATAAATAAAATGTGTATAGCCCTACAATGGGGTATTATTCAGCCGTGAAAAGGAATAAAGTACTGACACATGCTACAATGTGGATAAATCTGGAAAACATGCTAAGTGTGAAAAAACATGCTAAGGGTGAAAAAAAGCCAGACACAAAATGTCACACGTTGAGTCTATGTGTAGGAAATATCCAGAATAGGTAAACCCACAGAGTCAGAAAACAGATGGGTAGTTGCCAGTAAGTAGCTGCAGGGAGGATGGAATGGGTGACTGCTTAATGGATCCAAGGTCTCCTTCAGGGACCTCGAGAGGGGTGATGGCTGCAGAACACTGTGAAAGCATGAAATGCCACTGAATTAGACACTGTAAGGTGGCTAATTTTATGTTATGTGAATTGCACCTCAATTAAGAAAAAATATATAGTTAATTTGGCTTTTTTAAAAAGCCTGAAACAGTGAGATAAGAACAAGCATATGGATTTTTTGAGTGAAGAAGGAAGTTCAATCCTTGATGTGACATTGTATTTGTTGTGTGACCTTGAGCAAGTACAAGAATCTGTTGGGTTTGTTAATTTCCTGTTAAAACAAACATAGCGAATACCTGCTTTATGCTCTGAGTCATGCCAAGGCACCTTCCTCTACGTTGCTCTCAGCAGTAAAATGTGAATTCCACCAACTTCCGCACAGGTAAGAGTCAAATAAGCTGAGTGTGAGAGTAGAGTATAAAGCCATAAAAGTCCTATACAAATGTTATCCCTAATCTAAGAGGCTGCCTGGGTTATTTGCACAAAATTCAGAGGCTTTTCATCAAAGAAACTCTTATAAATACCATACGTGACAGAAAAGGCCATTCCAATTTAAAATAAAAACTTGGGAAAACATTTTATTATAAAATAAGTTGCTACCAAAGGTCAGTCCATAAAAACAAATTTGGGTGGAAAATGGGAGAGAGAGAGGAATTTGTCATTTACCCTAAGAATTTAATGACCCAAAATATCCCATTTGAATCACACTACATGCTTTCTTCACTATTTATGAATTACAATGTATCTTAAAAGTAGATTACATAAAGAGGTAAAGAGCATCATTCTATAATAGTAGCTCTATCCACTATAATATCAGGATTTCTATGAATATAGTGCTACATGGAAGCACTGATTATCATTCTGATCAATGGCTTTTAAAATTAAATGAACACCACACTTTTATTTTTAAACTACTTAGTTGCCTACTCCTTTACCTTAATACAGAATATGACAGAGCATGAAATAACAATTGTATACTCATTTACCCATGTAATGGAGACCTTTTGAGTTTCTGTTGCTTTATTTTAAAAGGAACACTTCCTCTTTAATGAGCATATTCTCTTCTGCCTAGAAAACTGTGTTATAATAGCAACGTTAGAAACGACCTAGAAACAAAGGTGTCAGGCCTCCCTCCGCCTATGCCCGGCCACCCCTCCCACCAACAGAAGCATTTCTATGTGTTAAAACGGGCTGATGCTCCAGAGTCCAGATTCGAAACTACAAAGTGAATGCAGATAGTGTCTGTGTTAAGAATTTTAGTAAGCCTCGTATTCAGTAGAAACGTTTCTATTTTTGGTTCCTCTATTAACTCATTTTGAAACTCAGACAAGCTATTTAGCTTTCCTGTGTCTGGAAAGAATCATTTCTAAAATAATAATATAGCTACTTTCTAGTCCATATATCAACAACGTTAGAACTGGATGTGAAATCTACATAGGTAAAGATTTTCTAATTAAATTCATTGACTATAAGCTGGGGCTTGTGAAATTAAAAGACTAGGTTTTCATTCATTATAGTATGATGCAAAATATTTCTTCTAAATGGAGTACAATAGAAATGGAGTGTTTAAATTTAGTTGTAGAGAAAAATGGAACGTTCTTCATTGTATTTATATACACATACACACAGTAAACAACCCAGGGACTTCTATATTAATATTTGAAGAATGTAAACATTTTTCTGGAAGCACATAATTGCATGTCAAAAGAAAGCAAGCATGTTAATATTATTTTCCTATACTGACTCATTGCTAACCAAAGAGGAAACCTGAAAATTGGCTAAGATCTTGCATTTCACAATCTCCAAGAAGAGACAATATAGCTTGGTGGTGATAAGCTGCCTCTCATCTGACAGATCCACCACTTCTTAGCTGTGTGATCTTAGGTAAGTTACTTATCCTCTCTGTGCCTTTAATCCCTTACCTGTCACACACCACAGCCCCAGCAGAATGGAAAGCCCCCTAAACTAGGAGTTCTGGTATTGCCCCGCCCCTGCTCCTTTGCAACTAACCAGCTACCAGAACCAGGTTACAGAGCTTCCCTGGCCTCAGTTGGACATTGGCTATAAAACCTGGCATCCTTAGAATTCCTTCCGGCTCTGAACTAGAACCTCAGAACCTCACATTTCTAACTTTCCTTCAAAGGCTCTCACCAGAATGTTCCATGCCACCTGTCTCTGTCATTACTGCCTATATCCCAGCCCATCTCCTCTATTCATGACAGCGCTCAGTGTTTCAAAGAATAAATCATAAAACCACTGGAGTGGAGCATCCGCTGTCTGACTCAGCATCCGTCCCCACGATGGAATTCCTTTACCACACCACCCACGCTTAGGTTCTTTAGGACTCAACATTTATTTGAGCAAATATACTAAGCGTCTACTTTCATAAGACTCCATGCTAGGCCCTGGGGATATACAGATAAATCAGACACAGATCCTCTCCTTAAGATGTTCAGAGTCCAGTAGGAATAACAGATGTGTTCACAGAAAGGACACTGTAATGTGTGGCTGCTCAATTATGATGGCACAGAGTAGGAGGAGCTGACAGATGAGCAGAAGCCTGGGAGAGGCAAAGTTTGCCATTCCGGCCAAGGCTATGCACAAACACAGGCAGAGGAATCTGAAGCCCAGAAGTGGCTCAGCTCTGCGCTAGACAGTCAAGAGAAAAAAGCCACAAAGATAATCTGATCCCAGAAAGATTAAGTGGGAGACAGCCAAGTGTGGAGAGTGAGATAACAGATTCGCACCTATCTGAATTTGTAGGACTTCATTTACTTGTCTATCAGCGACTTCCTCTGCTAGAAAGTCAGTTCTTCATAGGCAGGGACTTTGTAATTGGGGTTCACCCCTCTCTCACCTGGCACATGGGAGATACTTAAGTATGTTTGAATAGATGATGGAACTGATAAAATTCTACCAAGATACAGTGTTGCAGAAGATTCATCTGGATAACAAGCCATTAAAACTGGCCAAAAGGGTGGGCACGGTTGCTCACACCTGTAATCCCGGCACTTCGGGAGGCCTAGGTGGGCAGATCACCTGAGGTCGGGAGTTCAAGACCAGCCTGGCCAACATGGAGAAACCCCGTCTCTACTAAAAATACAAAATTAGCTGGGCATGGTGGCACATGCCTGTAATCCCAGCTACTCAAGAGGCTGGGGCAGGAGAATCACTTGAACCCAGGAGGCAAAGGTTACAGTTAGCCAAGATCGTGCCATTGCACTCCAGCCTGGGCAACAAGAGTAAAACTTCATCTCAAAACAAAACAAAACAAAACAAAAGGCCAATAAAGAAGGCTCTTGATGAACAAAGACCCATGTGTAGTTATCACACATCAAGATTTTCCCCAAAGTTTATTGATATGGACAAGCCTGAACTCAGCAGCAATCCACTTCTAGAATTCACAAGCAATTTAGGTAAGAAGGAATAGGTGGGAGGGTAGAAAATACAGTGAGGGGGTGCTCTGTGCAGGACAATTGAGCACCTGTGATACAAATGGATTCTTGAATCTTGGAAAGTCAGGATTGTGCCTGTAATCTACCCCAAACTTACATTGCGTCTGTAACTTGCAGTTACAACAAATGCCTGCTGCTTATGATGCCAGCCCCTCTGGAACAAGCGAAGCCTAGGGTTCAGCAGCTAACAATTTTGAGCAGAGCAGGAAGGAAGGGCCTCGATGGTATAGGAAAAGGAAGGGCTTGGAAGTCAGACTGGGAATCACATTCAGCTCTCGCCTCACTAAGGCTATATGTGGCCTTAGACAATGGAATTTCCACCTTAAATTTCCAGCTCCTTGCCTGGAAGATGAGAACCCTCCATCACACAGGGTTGCGTCTGAAGAGGGAAGAGAGTAAGTCATGGAAATGCCCCAGCACAGAATGAATGTAGAAACTGACCAGTGACCTTGTTCTAAGCCAGTGTTTGGCCAAGTAAAATTCCCATGCCACTGGCATTAGAATCAATGGAGAATCCCACCCCAACCCACACCCTCAGATGTTCT